GAAGAAATAATAAGATAAATGTGCTTAATTAAAAAGATTTAAGGTGACAAGGAAAAAAAAGAAAAACTTACCACGTTAGTGAGAAAAAAATCCGAAAAAAAAGGAAAACACTCTTGTATAAATGATATAAAAAAAATATGGTGGATAAAATTAGAATACAATGGGCAAGTGTTTATTATTAGTAGCACGTTTCTGATACAGTCAGTCTCGTGAGCGCGTCGAGCAGTTCAGAACGACGTCGGAGAATAGACTGGTATCCCAAGTGCACGTCGAGTCAGGAAGGGAGCATCGTCGATGCGGCGCGGCAACCGCTCACGCGCCCGATGACCCCCTTCTTGCAATTCTCTCGGCGTGCCTCGAGGATGTATACACGCTCAGTTTGGGCCACCCCAATGGGTGGAGGGCCACACGCGATTTCACGTTCGATTAAAGTTTGCTCTGGAGGAGGTAAAAGCGTCCGAGGAATGGAGTGAGGTCGTGAATACACTGGGGAACCCTTCTACTGCGTCTGCGATACACTTGAGTGGTCTTGTAAAAAATGAAAAAGATAAAAACACTAACGTCGATCCTCTTTTAGATATTTTTTATACTTTTACATCTTTATTTCCTTTTATTTTATTTGAAGACCAGATTCTATGTGGATAATTGCGTTACTTCATGCTCAATATTTTCCTTTTTTTTCACCATGTTTTACTTTTTATTGCTTTTTTTTCTTTTATTACTACTCCTTTTTATGGGATTTTTTTCTTCACTATTATGAATTGAAGTTGAGGTTTTTGAGAATGAGTGGCTTTCCAGTTTGGGAAAGTTGGAAAACTTTTTCAACTGTTTGGATAAAAGTTTCGAGTGTATAGTATACATGAACATTATAAAAAGTTTCTTGATGAATTATTTTTTAAAATGACCTGACAATTTTTCAAAATTATTCCAGAAAAATTACTTTTCATTTTTATTCTAGTCTTTCTTTCTTATTCTTTTTTTTTTTATATCCTCTTTCTATCTTTCTTTTATAAGTACATCTTTTCTAATTCAACTTATGCTCTCATAAAAATAAATTTCCAAAGTTTTCTACAGCAGTTAAAAAATGTTAATGCATATAAACTCCTTATAAACACAACGATTCACTCTGATAACTGTAATAAATACTTTGAAGAATTTTATTTTTGACTTTTTTTGTTTGTTTGAGAATATGGAGATAAAAAATGAGCTAAAAAATGTGACCCCACCCGCTGCTAAAAATTCTTTTGTAAGAACAATTTCTCTGCAAATTTTATGAGAGAAACAGAGAGAAAAGGTACATGAGAAAGAGAGAGAAAGAGAAGTACATGATGAAAGGAGGTGGTAAGGTGAGTGTTCACATGGAATAATCACAGAGGCCGAGGTTATTTCAACGAGGAAAGGCCCTAGTGACCGACATTCCTATTACTACGTCTTCCTGATCTTCCTTAGCCGGATGTTCTACTCCTAGACACGCGATCGCAACCTTTACTCAGCCTTCTTCAGTCTCAGAGAAAGGAAAAAGAGTTTAACAAAAAAAAAAAGACAAGGAAAAACATTAAGTATGAACCTTCGAATCAATCACACGTCTCTAAACCACTTTCAATCATGATCATCATCAATTTTTTCTCCTCTACATGATTATTTATTTACGAAAAAGTTTTTTCCATCCACAACTACATCATTAAGCTGTTATTACACCTGTTTGGAATTCAATGGCATATTGAACAGAGTTTTTGAATTAAAAATAATGGGAATACGGTAAACGTACCAATTAGCGATTCTGTCTTCGTTAATGATTATTGAAAAACCGAGTGGCTGTGTTTCTATTAGTAGCTGTGGCCTAATTATTAACTATGAAGTCAATAAGGGTCAATAATAGATTTATGATTATGTTCTCTATTAATGATTATAAAAATATTTATTTTCTGTTAAATAATTATTAAAAATATTCTAAAATACTTCATGATGATTGTAAACTCAACACAACATAATTAGGTTATTGAAAAAAAGTTTTTTGTAATAACTGGACTTGGTTCTGCACTGATGCATCAACCTACAACATATTTCCATATGTGTTAATACATTAATGTTGAACTGAACCTCTGAGTAATCATGTTCGGTGCTTAATAACATGGAGTTTTGGAGTATTAAATGATGATAAACATCATAATACATAATTCCATTTGAAAAAAATAAAATATTAATCCTCTTATATATAGTTAGTTTCTGAAGCATTTCTTCTACTTTCTTTGTGATTATAAATAATTAAAAAGTAGATTAATTGATTATGTCTTGAAATGGATTATGAACAAAAGCCTAAACTTATGATCACGAATTTGATTCAATCGAAAAAAACCTAGAAAATGGTCAAGTAAGGAAACTGAAGAAATAAGTTTAGAAAAGAAGATCGAAGTCTACGAATTAGTAATTTGAATGTCAATTTAGGTCAGTGGAAACTATAAATAGAGTTTACAGATAAATTGAAAATACATTTTAGATCTATAAGAAATTTCAATGGAATATATAGCTGCAGTTCAATTGAAGATACACTTCTGGATTGTGAGATCAGTTCTGCAGATGAACGTACTCTAGAGACGTGAAAAGACCGCAAGGAAAGAAAAAAAAGACGACAAAGATAAAATTCAATATGCACATACTGAAGAGTCTATTCATAGTATTCCACAATAAAGTGCAAGTCAATAGCAAAAAAGATGTTTTCTCTTCTATAAATCAATCCTGTGTACTATTAAAACATTTAAAAAGTTTAATTTCTATAAATCAATTCGATAAAAAAAAAATATTACAATAAAGTAGATCTAGTATAGATTATTAAAATAAAGTAGATTTATAGGGATTGTGATTCGAATAAAAATACATAGTCTCAGGATTTATAGGAAATAGAAAAGAAATCTGAAATTTAAATTCATTCTTTTTATCATGAGATGGTCAACGTCAAAAAAGAAAGAACAATTGGAGAACAATTAAAAAATTCTGGATGACATTAACATAATAAATGTCATGAATTGTCACAGAAAAGCATGAATATATTTCTCCATGATGTGTGCTTTTTTTAAATAAGACACGAGTTTTATTTAAGTGTACTGAACGGTGAAAAAATTTTCAATCTTCAAAAAGTTTCAGCACACAAACCATAAATTAAAACACTTTTTTGTCTGAAAAACTAATATAAACTGAAGCTTTTATTTAGATCTCGTTTACAATTCGAAAAATGAACGTTTCAACATTTTTTAACTTTTTAAAAGTACGCAAAAAATGTTAATGAAGTAAGTGTATGAAATGTAAATAAAATAAACGGCTGAAAAAAATTGAAGTTACCATTCCCATGAATTCTTTTGTCTCCTTGCATTTTCTAAGTAATTTCTGTCAGAGACTATGAAAAATTTGCAACACCTGTCTTTCTTTTTATTGTACTCGGGGATAAAGGGAAAAGAGTTGGAGACATACCGGAAGAACTGGGATGGCCGGAGAATGGAAATTCGCCAAGGCCTGTGCTACCAGAAGTTGGGCCATATACTCTTTTTCGGAAACTACATGGACAATTTACGAGCTTCCGGTCTGGCAGATGCCAAAATCACCAAGGGTGGAGGTGAACATGGTTGCCTACGACGTTGTCCTTTGGATCGATAAACTATTCTCCGTAATTTAGTTACGGCAGTTGAGATAGGGGAAGAGTTGGTGGGCACAGAGGAGGCTGGTTAGAAGGAGGAAACGGAATTACCGTTAATTGCAATCACGGAGCACGAGAGTTGCCTGTATTTGGTAGCAAATAGGGCTGATGTATATCGAAAATTTCACGCTTGCCAGAACGAGCTGGCCAAACCATTGGTGTCTGCTCGCGGCACTGTACCCGGAAGACTCGCACGTCGGCTCTGGAAGCCAAAAGTTCGGCACTACTGCGCGTCCAATATTCTGCATTGCCAGATGTGCCTTGAGCATGTTACTCTTCCGATGTACACTTAATGCCTTCTGTTTATGATCGAGACCAAGTTTACGTTGAACATTTTAAGCACTTTGTTCCCCAATGTTGAAGTCATAGCTTGAGTAAATCGGTTAGTAATTTTCCTACAACATTGAAAGTTTACATGAAGCATATTACGGTTATTAATTGATAAAATGATAGATGATTATTTAATGAAATTCAAAATACCAAACAAATATTGACTAGAATTTTAACCAATAAATTATATTGGTATTTTATTGAAGAAACTGACTCTTCACATATAGGAGTAACCTGTTTCAAAAGGAGGTTAATCTGAGAAACAACAGAGTGAAATAACAAAATGTAATAACTAAATCTGAATTTAAAAAATAGATTTAAATTTATAAAAATCTAAATTGAATTTTTTTGCTTCTCATGTATTATTAGAGATCAAGTACTTTGTTTATTAAATGGGTTACCTACTGAACTTGATAATTGGGATTCAGAAGAAATTCAATATTAGACAATATTAGAGTTTTAATGATATTCATTAAAGCTTTCTGTTAGAAAAAGAGAAATTTATATTGTATTGATAGTTGTTCAAGTAGAACAGCTTGATAATCGAACTTATATGTATTTAAATAATGATAAAAGACCACTTAAATAGTTTTTGATTATTATTCATCACTAATAGCTAAATGACGTCATTAACTTGAGGTAGGTGCACCAGAAGCAATTTTATACGTAGAAAGTTGCACTGAAGAAAGTCAAGGTAACAGAGTAACAGTTCATTTTTCGAGGTCATTGACTACTCGCGTTTTTTCCAGAGATTCCTGACATTATTTCTATTTTTAGATTATCTATTAAATAACTATTTATCAAATTATTTTCATTTGATAGTTGTATAAAAGCCTATCTTCTTTAAATATCGCATAAATAGTAATTTAGAATAATTTAAAGTTAATAAATTGATAAAGAAATAAACATAATTTAATAATAGCTATTAATTAAATTTTTTTTAATTTATAAAAAACAATGTAAAATGTTGAAAAGAACATACCTTGCTGAGAATAAAGTTCCATTATTTTTAATCAATTGGTTTTGTCTCAAGATTACCTTTAGCTCAATTTTTCTTCAATTTCATCAATCTTGTCACTTCTTCCATTACGACAATTTATTTATCTGATTGTTCTGTAAAAATAAAAATATTATATAAGCTGAAGTTTATGTGACTTGCCGGAATAAATGAATCTACATATGTGTCATTTGCACTATAAACTTTTTAATATAAAATTGGAGAAAAATGATCACAATTAAATAGTCATAATATAAATCTTAATAAATATCGAAATTACCGTAAAAGCTTCGGACCTTATAAGGAATACTGCACATTCTGTAAACAATTTATATAGATTTTTTCACTTGATTTATGAAACAAATTGCAATTTCGAGACGAATTGTATTGAAACTTTTGTAGTGAATGAAAAAAATGAGAAACGTGATCAAAATAAATAACACATCTTTTATACATTGTATGATTCTCAGTGAGATAAATGTTAATCGAAACAATCGCAAAAAATATACGTATTGATATATTGAATATTGGTTCTGGTGAACATAATATCAAAAATTCAGTCTGAATCACTGTTTGTTCCATGAAACATCTTATTATTTATAAAAAATAGTAAAAAATGAAGAAATTTATTATTTGCGTCGTACGTTGAACTTCGAGCGGTTCTTGGAAGTAACCGACGCATTGATATGTTCACTTTCAATAACTGCGGTAGATGGCGCTTGATTTCTGTTCTCTGCTTCTATGAGCATTCATAGACGGCGCTATGATATTTTTTTGCGCGAAAATTTTAAATACTTCAGATTTCTATCGTTATATTAAAATAATTGTATATTATAATATATTTTAATTATATTCATTTCAAAAAGTATCAAGTTTAAATTACATTAATTAAAAATTAATTTAAGTTGTATTATATGCATTCGATCAATTTTTTATCTTGGATTATGTTAAATGAGAAAGTGAAGCATACGTTATAACATGGACTCTACCAGCTTTTTTTGTAAACATTGTGTCTGAATTACTCAAAGCATATAAAATAATGTTCTTAATCTATCAAAATCATTTTCTATATTTTTATTGAGAATAAATTTATTTGTGCTGGAATTATGTACTCTAAACAAGTTTTAAATAGTGCTATTAGTTTTAAAAAACAAAACCTAACCTTTCAAGTGTGTTTACGTTACTTGCATAAACACACATCTTGTTCTTCTGATTATTTAGATACAAATTATAAGAAAAATACGAGATGTCAATTGAATATGCAATATGTAGGCCATAGAAAAATAAATTTGACACAAAATTATGGGAAACAGTACGTTGGAATATTTCAAAAAATACCAAAACAATTGGTAAATTATCAACCTTCAAGATCGTATGGAGATGTTGCACCTGAATTAAAGCTTGATATTCCATTAGAGCATTATACTCCCTTTTTTAAAGTTTTAATTGATAGTCCTCCTATTTTATACTGTCAAGAATCTTTAATTGCTCTGCATTCTGCAATTGGCTTACCATGGTGGGCTACTATTGTGTTAACTACAATAGTAGCAAGAACCTTTGTTACATTACCTCTTACACTGTACCAGGTTTGTAAAAATATTTAAAACAAACTCATGTAATTGTTTTCATCACTAGAAAGAAAAATACTGAGAGGTAAAAATATTTCAGCAATATATTTTTGCAAAGTTGACTCTGATCAAATATGAGATGGATGATATTGTGAAAGACTTGAAATTACAAGCAACTGCGGCTGTGAGGTATTATAATTGGGAGGAAGCTTTTACAAGAAGTATATATAACCAAACAGTAAGTGTTTTCTCACCGTGTTTTAATTGAGTTCTTTAAAGCAAACATTCAATGTAATCATAGGTACGAGAAGAGTACAAGAAATTGGTAATTAAAGAAAATTGTCATCCGTTGAAAGCTTTCATAGTACTATTATTACAAATACCCATGTGGGTTATTTTGTCAGCATCGTTGAGAAATTTATCCTGTATGTTACCACATCCAACACCAGGTAAATATCAATAATGTTATCACAATATTTGAAGAGCATATTTCACATGATAATTATTCATGCATTCATTTTATAATTAGCTGGTATTCAAGCATTTCAACAACTTTCGGTTGAAGGATTTGGATGGATATCAAATCTCACTGCTACAGATCCTTGGTGGATTCTTCCTGTACTAAGTGCAACATGTCACTTAATTAATCTTGAGGTAAATTATGGTTTTTTTTGTTAATAAAATGAAGTAATAAATACTATGAAGTAAATTTTCAGTGTTTAAATGCTTTGAGACAAGCTGAACCATCAAAAATACAAAAAATTGGAGATTATCTTGCTCGAGGTGTCATACTCATATTCGTTCCTATCTCTGGACTCGTTCCAACAGTAAATAAGAATAGATACATAAATATAAATATTTAAATGTCATTATTAGTGAATGAATTTGTTTGTACAATTTATTGTCTTATTTTTATAGAGTATGACTTTATATTGGACTACTAGCAGTGTGTATGGGATTTTTCAAACTTTGGTTATCTACTCACCAAGAGTTCGAAGATTTGTTCGAATACCTGAGACTGAGCTTGAACTTGATCATCCTTACAAACATTTACACGCTAGATTGAAGAAAAAATTTTTATCAAACAATAAAGAGAATAAAATATAAGTATTTATTTAACGTTTAGTGATTTTAATTGAGCTAATTATTTGTAAATGAACATGATATAAAGAATTTGATTTGTCTAAGAAGGAATGTTAAACATTATTATGATATTACGACCATCATTTTTAATGATGAAAAATTGAATACAGCTTGTTATCAAAGAGTACAAAGTGATCGTTAATATTCAAATATTATTGAACAAATTTCATCATTCTACTCAATAAATTTTATCATTTGTGAGTCAACTCGAAATGATTCTCACGCTCGATAAATAAAAATTTATTATTCTTTTTACATGTTTTTGATAATGTATCAAAGCCCTTGAAAGAATGAATATCATTCTTATAGTATGGTTAATTAATAATAATGAACCAATTACCATAAATATATAATTTATGTTGTTTTAATCAGAAAAAAAACAAAAAATTGATTGACTTAACAAAGGAATAGCTATAAAAATCATGCGATTAACTAAAAGCCTAAATTGAATTTATTTAAGTTCATTTACTTGATACTAAAAATAGATTTTTTTTCCAAATAAATAGTAAGATTTTTTCCAAAATTTTTAGTTAGATTTTGGGATTAATCTCGGTGTATGATTTTTTTTACGATATAATAAAAATAGTTGAAACTTATAATAATAAATTTATGCTAGATAATTTTTGGTCGTAAAGAAATATTTTATTAAACGTGGTGAAAAAAACCTTTTTCATATTTATTAACTTGAAGTATTATTTGACTAAAGTATTCAACAATATGTTGATACTTCATTTTATCTTTTTGTTATCAACAACTCTATTTACGAAACAAATTTTCGGGGTAAGTTTTATTAAATTATAAATCTTACAATACAAATCTATCAACTTTAATTTCGATATTTCTATTTTCAGTATGTTATACCAGCTTGTACAGAATCATCATATGGACGTTTCCCATATCTTAAAAGCTGTACCAAGTTTTTTGAATGCAAGAACGGACAAGTGACGGTTTATAGTTGCAGACCTGGCTTAGCTTACAATCCCGTTCTAGCAGACTGTGATTTACCTGAGAATGTACCAGGTTGTGAAGATATTCAAGCTCAAGAACATACATTAGTAGTTTGTCCTCGAAATTTTATTGGACAAGTGCCTCATCCGAAGGATTGCGAGCAATATGCTCAATGTTTCCGTGGCCTTACTCACTTTATGATCTGTGGTCCTGGATATGTATACAATATTGAAACTGGCTATTGTGATGTAAGAGAAAACGTTCCAGGATGTCAAGGAAATTTCGGAAACGGAGTAAACTTCCGAGGGGATATAGCTATTTCATTACAAACTGCTCGAAGTGCTCCAGGTAGGGTGGAACCGTATGATGGATATCATCCTCGAGCACCCTGTTTAACTCCAGGATGTTTACCTATTAATCGACAACCTCCAAGACTTAATGTGACATTCCCATCTGCGCCTGTACCACCACTCAATAAACCTCCAGTTCCATTTCGAAAAATTGAAATAGAAGAATCAACTCCAAACTCAATAACTGAAAATTTATTTACATCAACGGATGATAATTTGGTCACTGTTTCTGATAAATCTTCAACGAATGCAGTTAATAGCTATCCCAGTATAGACGAAACTAAAATAGTTAATGATAAAGAAACATCAAGTACCATCAATACTGAATTTTCTTCAGATATTCCACAAGTTATAACAAATGAAGAAACTACAGTCGATTATACTACGACGAGTGAAGCTAAAACTGAAATAGCTAATGATGAAGAAAAATCTAGTACTATCGGCACGGAATTTTCTTCTGATAATTCACTAGCAATAACAAATGAAAAAACTACAGCTGATTATACAAAGCCTACAAATGAAGCTGAAACTGAAGATAAAAGTAAACCAGATCATACAGCCACAATTTTATCTGATCTTTACAGTGGAGAAACAATTGATGTAACAATTACATCTACTTATGTTGATAAAGAGCCCGTAACAACAACTGAAGATGTAACACCAAGTAGGGAAGTCGAAACTCTTGTCAACAATGTAACTTCAGAAGTGACAAAATCTGCTGATACTATAGCTCCAGCAGAACCAGAAACTGCTGAATCTTCTGAGGAAGGACTTCGTGTAGTTAAGCTGAATATACCAGAAACTAATAAGAATTCGTATCCAAGAGTTAATTCCCGATTTTTTGAACTTTCAGAAAAAGAAAGTGGTAATTATTATAGCTATTCAATATTTTTAATATATGGAATTTTATTTATAGGATAAACTTATAAGTCTTTGATATTCTTTAGGGAGATCCGCAGATTCATCTGAAAGCTGGTTCAAAAATTTATGGTCTTCTAATTCGAATATAATAAAAAATGATGGTGAAATAAAAAAAAAGGAATCTAATGGAAATTCATCAGGAAACGAATTAAAAAATTCTAACAAACAAGGAGATGTGAATGGGAAAGGTTAGAAAAATAATGAATATTTTTTTATTTACAGTTTTGGATTATTACTTATTTATTTCTAGTTTCATTGACTAAAACAATTTTTCGTTACTTTAGAATCAACGACGTCTGCTTTTCCAACCAAATCCAATTTACGTCAGCCATTCTACGTAACAATTAACGGCACAAGATATCATTATATATACAAAGATGTACAAATAGATCAAAATCATTCGAAAGTTCGAAGTTACAATCATGCACCTCTAGTTGCTAATGTAAAAGTTTCCAAAGCTCCTTTGCAGATCAATAAAACATCTATCAATTCAGGCAAATCCAATAATCAATTAATGTCTTGGCTAGAAAGTAAGTGATAGAAAATAAATCAATATTATTTGAAAAAATAATGTTTTCGATAGAAAATAGTTTCAGCGTATATTATTAGATTTTTTTTCCATTTCAGCTGAACCACCTTTCCCATTTTCTTATACACCTCCAATCTATTTTCGAAGTCTCAGAAATATTCCTAAATTAACACCTTTATCAGGCCAGGTATTGAATAAAATACTTTTAGAAATTCAATTTAACCTTTTTAAAATATTGAAAGAGACTCATTCCTATAAATTTATTTGTCTAGTCACTTCGATTAAGAGGTGGATCAGATTTAAATCATGGATATGTTGAAGTTCAAGGTTCTAAACCAGGTTGGGGAGTAATTTGTCACACAGCATCAAATTGGACTTTTCAACAAGCTGATATTATTTGCCATCAACTAGGATATTCCCAGTAAAATTTTAATCTACTTTATATGAATATTATTTTCAATTTCAGTTGATTTAATTGATTAAAGTTATAATAAAAATTATTTGATTATTTTAGGGGTGCTCAAATGGTTTGGAAAGGTCGTTATAATGAGGATGAAATTTACCCTTGGGTCGCAACTTCATACGCCGAATGTCAAGGCAATGAAACTTGGTTCCAAACATGTAAATTCCGCAATAATTCAGATTGTAATATTCAACGAGATATGGTAGGAATAAGGTGTCTTCCGAATAATGAGACTTATTGTCGTGAAGATGAAGTATTCTACGGAGGATACTGCTACCATTTAACGAAATCAAACTCAAACTTAACCCATGAAGAGGCTGCACAATATTGTAGAGAAAGATCATCTTCACTTCTGTATATTACAAGCCAAAAAGAAAATGATTTTGTGTCTGAATGGTTAATTCGACAACATCCAGATATTAAATCAGTTACGATGGGTGGCTTGGGATTTCCAGCTTCAAATCGATCTCAGTGGATTTGGAAAGATACTCATAAAACTAAATTCATGTGAGTATTATAAAAATCAATATTGTTCCAAGAGGTCAAATATTAATTTTTTAATTAAAATGTTGCAAATGTTTTAGCATTTATTGAATTTTAAATTAAATATCTATTTATTTCTGTTATTAGTTTCTCTAAATGGTGGCCAGGATGGAATAGTGAAAGAATACTACCACCTTATGTAAAATCAGGAGTTTCATGTATGGTAATGAAGAAAGAGTTCCCATGCAATGACAATCAGAATACCAAGTGTCATACTGACTATTTCTTCTGGGATACTGAAAGATGTGGAATTTCTCAACGAGACTCTACTTATATTTGTAAAAGATCAAACAATGATCATTTTTAAAAATATTTGATTAATTTCATTTGTAACAAGAAGAAAATTTTGTCTCAATTTTATTGATCAATTTTGAAATTAGGAATATTTGATTAATTATGAAGGTCTATGTATTTTTTATTGTTAAATTTTACTTGAAAATAGTATTTTTCGAAAAAATACACCTATTAACAAAATAATAATAATCTGCTTGAATAACCTAAATTAATTGTTACACCATTGTTTAGCTTTGGAGTGATAACATTTTATTACCAAATGTAATATTGAGCTCATTAATGAAATAATAATAACTAATATCAAAAGACAATTATTGACACAGTTCTCTTATTAATAATCTATTGAAATCGTCATCTATTATTTCATTGAACTTTTATCAAATGTGTAGCATTATATAAAGTTCCGTAAGCTAATAATAAGTTTAGTCGTTCGACTAATTTTGTTTAAACAATTTATTTGAATTTTTAATTCTTCGGATCTAAATAACATAAACTTGAAAATATTAGTGAAGAATTTAGTACAAAAATTATTAAAATGTACGGTTTTTATTTAGTTCTTTTTTTGACAATTGCGTTATTTGAAAAAGCATCTTGTGGGGTAAGTGATACTAATTATAATATTCAAACAACTTTATATCCTACGATCAAAGGACAAAAGAATTCTTTGATTTAAAATTTTAGGTGTCTATTTCGTTTTGTAATCCAACAACAACAGGCCTTTTTCCATTTCCTGGAAATTGTACTAAATATATTTCATGCAATCAAGGAGTAACTACGATTTTTAGTTGTACTCATGGTTCAACATTTAATCAAGAATTGAATCGATGTGACTATGAGCAAAGACCAGATAATTGTCAAAATTCTATTGGTAGTCTAAAAGATTTACGAATCTTTTGTCCAAAAGGTTCTAGTAATAGTTTTCCGCATCCTTTTGATTGCAAAAAATATATTGCGTGCAGTCATGGTTTGACTTATAATATGAACTGCAGTGATGGAACAGTGTACAGCTCTATGAAATCTATTTGTGATTGGCGTTATAATGTTCCTGGATGTTACGGAAATTTAGGTGATGGTGTTACTCTGCGAGGTGACGTTATTTTATCTTCAATAAATTTAGATACTGGAAGTATGAGTTTTGAGACTATAAAATATGTTGGAAATGAGCATCAAACTAATCAAAATCATCCACTTCATGAAACAAATAAGCCTTCACTAGGAAATAACCAACCCTCTCTACAACCTGTTAATTATAACAACCATTCTACCAATAAACCAATTCACTACAATCCTGAACAACAACCTAACTATTCAATCCAGAATGGATATGCTAACGGGAATCAACAGTATAATCATCAAACTAATTATGGAAATCAACAAATCATTTCGAATGAAAATTACTCTGCAAATGGTCCAACTTATCATCAACCTGGAAAACCTTCAAGTAATTTAGTTCACAGCCCGACCATTAATCAGAATCCACCACTAAATTATCCAACTACTCCAAATACTCATCTACAACCAGTTCAAAATGAAAATTATGGAGTAAATATACCGCCTTATCATCAGTCTCCATTAAATCATGGATATTACTCAACTCCAAATAAGTATCCTAATCAAAATCAAGCTACTGGTTATCAAACTGATTCAAAACATAATCAAGACTCAAGTATATATAAACTTAATACTCCTACAAAAACGACGCCAGCACAAAGCAATAGCCAACCAATAATATTTCCGACAGAAAAACCTACCACTGAAGAGGACAAAGACCTAGATATAGATATTAGAATGATAGACGATAAATTAAATGACAGATCAATTTCAAAAATAAGAAGAAATGGTAGAGCAGACACAGTACTTTCATTTGATCAAGTACTTGCTATCAATAATTTAACTGAATCAAAGAAAGTGTTCAATAAATTGAATGAAGATAAAGATCATATTGAATTATCTTCAGAACTTCATGGTAAGTAAAAACGAATTCTTACACGAGCTATTCAGTTAAATATGAAACATTATTGTTTTTTCCAGCCAGAATAGTTAATTCTCCAAATAATTGGTTTAATGGTAAACCACTGGAACCGATCGATAATCATATCGATGGAAGTCGTGCTACGGAGCAGGTGAATGATGGTAAATTAGTTAGGTTCAAAGAAGAAATTGAATCAGTTTCATTTATTACAACTAAAGCTCCATCGACTAAGATTATCGTAGAAAATTCTCCTTCAATTAATGTTCTTAATTATAATTATATTGAAGATAACGGTAATGGTAGTGTACAAATAGATCAAGATTATTCGAAAATTCGTAACCACACTGTTAGATCTAGAATGAATAATAATAATGTCAGAAAAAGTAGGGAAATTCAACAATTAAATCATGAATCTACGGGGCTCAGAACACTTTTTAGCGATAATTCCACAGGTTTGTATAAAAATAAATATAATTATTTCATTGAAAAAATTTCAACTAAAATTTAACTTTCTTTTTAAGATGACACATTTTTGTCGACGTTATTTGTTACTCAATTTAAGTCTAACAATAACAGTCAACATATTAAAGTAATAAATCAGCTCTCCGGTCAGGTATAATATTCTTCAGTTTTTAGAATATTTAAATTTGAATTTTATCTTTCAAATTATTGAAGTAAATTTTTTAATATACTAAATAATTGTCTTTTGAATAAGGTTCTTCGGTTAAGAGGAGGATCTAGTGCTCACCATGGATATGTTGAAATTCGTGGAATCGGATTTGTTGGTCAATGTGACAACACTTGGAATTTAAAAAGAGCTCATAAAATCTGTAAATATCTTGGATATAAAAGGTACATAGAGTTAATTTTTCATATCAATTATAAAATAATGAATAATCTTAAATAAATTATCCATTATTGACAGGGGTGCTAAAATAATTTGGAAGGGTCAAAGTAATGATACTGAGTTGCCTTTATCATCACTTGAATCTGATGTCTTTTGTCAAGATGAGCAATCAGAATTTCATGTCTGTAAATTAAAAACTAACTCTGAGTGTAGTATTGAACGTAATACAATAGGTGTTGAATGTATGTTGGATTCTTCAGCCTACTGTAGTACAGATGATGTACCGTTCCATAAAAACTGTTATCATTTAGTTAATTCAAGCTTGGATTTGAGTCATGATGATGCAATACAATATTGCTCTTCAAGAAATTCATCTCTGTTATACATAACAGCACAAGATGAAAATGATTTTATTTCTGAATGGTTAACACAAAAGTATCCTCAAGTTGAATCGATTATGACTGCTGGTATAGGATTTACTACGATGGCTCGAACTATTTGGGTTTGGCAAGATTCTGCGAAATCTTTCTTTAAGTAAGCTTTTTTTTTACAAATTATGGTTCTAAAAATTATGAAATTAATTATGTTAACTATTTAAACAGTTTCATGAAATGGTGGCCCGGATGGAAAAACGAAAAGACTCTTCCACCTTCAGCAAAGTCATCAGCTTCATGTATTGTCATGAAAAATAAATTCCCCTGCTATGATCAACCCAACTTAAATTGTCGAACTAATGGTTATTTCTTCTGGGATGTTGAAGATTGTACATCCTCTATGAAGGGGAATTATTATATATGTAAACGACCATACAACAACATTTCTCTATGATTTAACGCCCATGGTGTATTTAAATAAATTAAACCAGTTTATAGCAGTTAATATTTTAAAACTATATTTTACGTCTGAATTTCCAACGTCGTAGTTTTCAATATTATCTAATCTTTATTATTGTTAAATATTATCACATTTATTTTTTTAGTTAAAATGTGACGTTTGTCATATTAACAATCAATAAAATAAATATGCCAATATCAAAATTATGGGTGATTGATTTTATGATCCTGAGTATATAAATTCATCCAAAGTATTGTTCGTATCACATATTAGTTGTAAATAGATGAGAATATTTTAAAAAATTTTAAAGAATAACTTCAAATTAGTTGTTCTCTTCATCTTATATTAAGTAAAAATAATTACTATGTTAGTTTCATATGTATGTTGGGTTATTGCATTAACGTTGCTCTCGAGTAATGTCAATGGAGCAGTAAGTACATTATTTTTTTTTAATTATACTGATTACAATACACGATTGATTAATCATTCAAATTTTCTAAATTTTTTCAAAAATTATTGAATTTTTTCCATAATTTTAAATAGATAAAGAACATTGAAATATTTTGCAGTAGCATTACACATCAAATATTTTTTTTATTTTCGTTTACATCATCTGTTATCGTTCCTTTTTATCAAATTTTATGAGCCGTTTTTATAGTTTCTGAATTTTTCATCTATGTATAAAAATCATGACTTGTTTTATTAAGAGCATTATAATTATTTTTTATTACTTTAACCTTCATAGCATAATTTCTACAAAGTTGACTTAATAAAATTTGTTTGTTAAATATATCATTTCTTTGCATTGTTAATATTAATAAAATAAAATAATAAAAAACTATTTATATTGAATTTTTTCAGCATTTCTTGTCAAATCTTTGTACTGAAACTACAATAGGAACTTACCCATACCCAGGAGTTTACAATGTATATTTTGAGTGTGAATATGGGAATGCAACAATTTATGCCTGTCCTCCTGGTACCAATTTTGATCCAATTTTCATGATATGTTCTAAAAGAGACGTTCCTTATGAACGTAATGATTGTGTCATCAATGGTTTAAGTTTTCCACATCCATTTAATTGTAGAAAGTTTATTCTATGTTTTAACTCAAAAATCAAGATTATTGACTGTAAATTTCCGATGGTTTACAGCATAGAAATGCGCCAATGTGTATATAGAAACAGAGTCTCAGCTTGTAGACGTACATCGACAGATGTTAATTTACGAACCGATTTGAATACTCATATTCATTACAGTGTAAATGAAATACTTGGTAGAAAACGAGATATACTGCACGAATTAACTGACTTGGATGAAGATGTTGAAAAAGAATCGGGTGAGTTAGATGAAAATTCTTTACAATCCAGCCGTGAGTTAGGTGCACCAATCCAAAATGAAATTTATGATGATCACTCTTTAGATTCATCTAAAAAAGAATTTTCAAATGAGATCAAAAAGGATAAATTGTCAATACAAGACATGAATTTATTACTCAGAGAACTTGGTGCTCCGTATAATGTTGTATTAAAAAATTATAATACGAATATTACTGATACTGAAAAGGCATATATAGAATCATTTCAAAATCTACTTAATGTGTTTTTTTTAACTTCATTGATAATTCAGCACAATAAAACCTCTACCGAAAATTTTAACCTCTCACTACCAACGACGAATACCTCTAGTCCAAATTTTAATGTTTCTAAAAATGTCTCAAATGATTTAATGACAAGTACTGATGAAGTTCGCCAATTTTCTGATGATATAAAAATAGTTACACAACCTATCGAAACTACATTACCGATTTTTTCTCCTTTAGAACAACCTGAAGAACAAAAAACAGACAATGTTACGAATTCTGAAGAAATTCAAAGTGCAAGTGATTTTTCTCAAAAAAGAAATACTTCTGCATTAGCTTCCACTGAAACTAGTACAGTTTCCAAACAAATAGAAGATGCAGTTTCTAATATTACCCCAACGGTAGAAATTACTTACAATATAATTGATCTTGAACAACACTCCAATACGGATAAATTACCTTCTACTCCATTAATGAGTACTTCAGAGATAGTTTCCTTTTCAAGTACTACATCCACTACTATTTCAGATACAACAAATACAGATATTGGTAGTACTGATGATAAAAAAATTGAAGAAGTAAGTTCTGTTGAACCTAAGGTGTTGAATTCTAGAATTGATATGATAGATGAAGTAGCATCGAGTACCGAACATGTTGAAAAAATAGAAAACATTCATGTTAATGATTCTGCTCCAACAAAAGTTGAAAATACAATTGTTCCTGAGCTAGTGACAGAACTCTCCTCTTCAACTTCTGCGGAGTCTAATCAAAATCCATTGGATCGGATTATTGTAAATTATAACAGTGATGTGCAAATAGATCAAGGTTATTCAAAAATCCATGCTGTTGATTCAAGTGGTGAAGAAACAGATGATACCAACAAAGTTTCTTCACAGCATGAAGAATTTTCATCGAGTACTACTACCTCTAGATCATTAGACTTTGCGACCGATAATGTGGAATCAGACTCTGGTAGTGTTTCAGAAGTAACAGAGGCTGAAATCAGAATTTCCAATTATAAGAAAGTTGAACAACCAACTGAAACAAATGAAAATTTAGAATTTACTACTTCAACTCTTATCACTTTTAATACGGAATCAACAAAATTAAAAGAAGTCGACAAAATTAGTGAAGATATTGGAAGTACACTTGTTTCAACACAGCATGTAGAAATTACCTCTTCGACTATTGCTGCCAATAGAATTCCAGAACAAACAAAAAGAACTACACTTGACGAAAATGCTTCTGAAGTGAAGACTACTACTTTACTTTTTTCGACATCTAATCGTCCATCTGATGATACTGAAGATATAACAGCTCAAAGTGTTACTCCGTTTTCAGAACAATCTATGAATATACCAGTTGTTCATTATTCGAATGCAAATATTACTACAACAGCAGAATTTGAAAGTACTACACGTTCGGATTCTCTTAACATTGTTTCTAGTGCTATTAAAAATCATGAAAATACTGAAGCCCTCAAAGTTTCTCAAAATTATGCAGTTACAACTGAAAGTCTTAATATTGATAGTACATCCATTGAACCTAAACATATCAGCGAAATAAATCATCAAAAAAATGATGAAACTCTTGAAATTGTTAAAAATATTGTTACTACAAGTGCAAGTCAATCTGTTAGTACATCTACTAGACCTGAATATATTAGCACAACTGATAATCAAAATAATGATGAAATTCCTACAACACTTAAGCATGTTTCTAATTTTATCGAAAATCAAAGAAACGAAGAAATATCAACTCCTCCCACGAACAATGTATTGATAAATGAAAGTAATATTGCTAATCAGGAAATACCAGATGCACTGAACATTCAGAATGAAAGATTCCCGAGGAATGTAGATTCAGAAATTGCGCAAGTTGGAGAGTCCAATGATGATAATATTCGTCTAAGTACATCTATCGAACCACGTAAATAAAATTTTATTTTTATATACTTTTTTTAAAACTAATTTACATATAAAAGTTAAATATTTTAATTATTTGCAGCTAATTTAACTAAAATAAAAAAGTATCCTCCTCTTATCTACGCTTGGCGTAATACGAAGAGTGTGAAAGCTATTTCTATATCAAGACAGGTGCTCATTTATTGGTTTAATATAAATAGCATTTTGTATATTCATCAAATATCTATTAATTTTTTTGTAGAGACTTCGGTTGAACGGTACAGCTCAAGCTAATTTCGGTTACGTAGAAGTTAAAGGAGTAGATGATATTTGGAGAGGTGTTTGTCAACCCACCTATTGGACTATTGCAGAAGCAGATATTATATGTCGAGAACTTGGCTATCAAAAGTAAAGAAAATTAACTAAATAGAAAAAAAATATTCTTTTTCTGTAACAAAATTCATTTTTAAAAACATACAAATTTTTTTAATGTAAAATTTATTTAATGCTGTAGCGGTGCACAAAAAGCCTGGAAAGGTCACTCAAATCGAATGGATATCCCTGCTTGGACTGCAACTTCATCCATCCAGTGTGACGGTAATGAAGAATGGGTTAATAAATGCAGATTTCAGGATGAAACAGAATGTGATCTACAACATAATGCAGTTGGAGTAGAATGCTTATTACAGGATGCAACTACTTATTAAACATGAATAATCTTTGTCATACATTATTTAATAATAAACAAAAAGATCGTTATTAATAATGTAGTGAAGCAAATACTCATTTCTATGAATCCATCATGTAAATCCTGACTTTGATATTCAATTTAACAATTGATAGCTCAGATTCGATGGTCAATTAATAATTAATCATTCTTTGAAATTGCTTTGTTCTATTAATTGGTTGAAACATAAATGAGCATTATTTTACTATGAAATATCAGACTATAAAAAATGTAGACCGGGCTATCAATATCACCTTATATAAAACAAAGCCATTGATGCAATGTTGATTATTCAATTGATTTTTTTTATTCAAACAATATTGTGGGTAAATAATATAACATATGGAGTAAGTTAATTGATATCTTATTTAATAAAATTGATTTATCATTTTCATGTGGAAAATTTGTTAACATTGATCAATTTTAGCATTATTTATCACCATTATGTCCTCGAGAAAGAGAAGGACTCTATTCATATCCAGGAGTTTGCGATGTATATTTTTCATGTGAACATGGCAACGTAATGGTTCATGCCTGTGAGTCTGGTTTAGTTTTTGATCCAGTATTTACTACATGTGTGGAACAGGAAAAAGTAACTTATTGCAAAAATGATTGTTCCATTTATCCTTTTGGACGTTTACCACATCCCAAACGTTGTGATAAATATATTGAATGTATTGATGGAAAAATTCATGTTAAAAAGTGCAAAGTTAGAGGAACTGTGTATAATATGGACGATTGCTCATGTGATTTAAGAGAAAATGTTCCAGGATGTAATCCGAAGGTAGTAAAAGCGTTAAATCTTCGAGGTGATTTGAATATTATTGGTTGTTAGAAAATAAAGTTTTTAATTAAAATATATTAAATTGTCATATCTAGTTTACTGTTGAACTTTTATATTATTGATAGATTCCTTAATGCTTGTATTTAGTTAATTGTTTTTTATCAGAAATAACTTTAAGAATTATTTACCATCAAACATGTGTTTTTTTTACTGAAGTCATTATAATACATCAAGCTGAGAATGAATGCTTACATTATAACATTTCAGCTGCGTATACAAAACCAATTTATAAAGTTTCATTGCACAGTTCTATTATAGATTAGTAAGATGAAAATAGTTCAATGGTTTATTTTATAAGTTATGAGTAATTCAGTTAATTGAAGATGTTTATTCACTATTTGAAATATGAGATGATCATTTTTTATTCCATTTTATTTGTAACAGTAATAAAAGCTGCTTCTAATCATTCTAAGGTGAGTTTATTTGTTTAGTATTTACCAAAAAATGAGTATCTTAATAATCAAGAAAAGAAACTCTACCTCTATTTCAGTGCTAAAAAATTTTTAACAGTAACAATATGAAAATAGTGTTGGTAAAAGATAATTTACTGATCAGAATTCATCAGAAATATTTGGATTTATGACTTTGGGAAATTTTTTACTTACAATTAAATCCAAAAAGTAACGAATTTCTATTGAATTCAAGCCTTTTAGAAACACCTTTTACATGTTGTGACTGTGAAAAATATTGATTATAAATATTATTGTAATAATTAATAACTTCAAGATTCCTCGACTATACTGTGAAGAATCAACAAATCAAGTTCGTCCATATCCAAAAATTTGTAATATCTACTATGAATGTAAAAACGGAAAAATGCGGATTCAAGCATGCAACTCTGGTTTGAATTTTAATTCCCAACTAGGTGTATGCGATCATACCGTACGAAACGATTGTATAACTGCCGAAAATCAGGTAAAAAAATTTCAATTGTGCCCTCCACTGTACATTGGTCAAGTACCAGATCCAGACGATTGCGGAAAATATATCGTATGCTATCTTGGAGCACATAGTTACGAAGATTGTAAAAGTGGTCTTGTCTATAATATTCTCATCAGCTCATGTGATCAACTTCAAAACGTTCCTGAATGTTTGGAAAATAAAACACGAATTAATACAACAAACAGAAGAAATGAAGATTATTATACACTTTTCACAAAAAATCGAGATAATGAAGAGGATGATACCACTATTCATGATACAAAATACACTCGATTCATGAATCGAATTCTTACATCAGGCCAATTTAAACAAACCAATACCACAATAATTCACCTAGATGAATTAATGCCAGTGTCATCTACAACAACTGTACCAAGTGAGTAGAATAATATGTCGTAATTATTCTATTGTAAACTTATATTTTTTTTATTGTTTAATTAACCAGTTTAATATCAAAATTGATAATATTTTTTTTGTAGTCGTTCAACGCTCTAAAACCAATTTACAAAGTTTGTGGACCAGGCATTGGGGATCTCATTTTTAAAATTGGTGATCAACTGACAAAATCATAAAATATTTGAAACAATTTGAAAACGTTTGTATAATAAAATATTTCCGGTTGTTTTACTCTAGAAATATCTACAAGTATAAGTCAACATAAAACAAATGTTAATTGACTACCATAATAAAATGCAAAATGAAATTTTCAATAAAATCCAAGATAACAAATTCATGATTTAAATGTTCTAAAAGCATTAGGATATAAAAAGAGTAGAATTAGAATCAAACAATCAAAATGATGATGAAACAGGAAATAAAATCAGTTCTATACCACTATGAACACGAAATGAGTCCCAATTGAATTCAAACCAGAATCAGCAGCCTATCAATAATCATAAGAAAATTTTTTTATTTAAATTTTGCTTATTAATTATTAACTTCCCAGAGGGAAGTTATTTTTAATATTGAAACTATGTATTAATAAAGAATACAAATCATATCATACATTGATTACATTATGTAGTTAAAATTACAATATCAATGTAAATAAAATAAAAACATTATGTGAATATTCTTTGATGGATCAAAATATGAATAAAAAAATACAATTTTTCAACCATGAAGTAAGTGATGTAATATTTCATTACTAAACATTGAGTTTATATAAATTTATTTTATAAGAATTCTAAATCAGTTTTTATAGAAATCTACAATCGACTTTATTAGAAATTAAATGTAGTTGAATTATCCATTTTTTTTATAGTGATGATCTTAAAAATTTCATGGTCAAAAGATATTATTTTTTAGGGTCATCCACAGAAGTTGATGGTAATTATTAATTTATTAGAAATTATCTGGTTATGAGGAAACCAAAAGTTGTTTAGAAGAAATAAACTACTTTATTATTTTAAAAAGTTGTAATATTAGTACATTGTAGTTTTGATTGTTTTTTTGAGTATGCTGAATAAATATAATTTTATTTTATAAGCTAAAATTCATAATTAACATTGCACATTGCATAAAATTTCTATAACTCATTCATATTTGTTGCATTTTTATTCGTTTGTTTGTTCTATAAATGTAAATTATTTAATAAACGTTTTTATCAGAAACATCTTAAAATTAAATTGAAACAATTGCTATGGCGTTTATGAATTACATAATACAATGAAAAGTCAATGTGATGATTAATTGCAGTCCGTTAGTTAATAAAACTACTTAAAAATATAACTCCTGTAAATTGAATAAGTATTTTAAAAAATTAATGGAAAATAACTTGATGAGATCGATACATAAAAACTTATTAAAATGTTTTTTCGTTATCGTTACATCAAACTCAAACAAAACAATTTTATATCACAAAATTAATTTAAAAAAATCTATGTTTATAATTTATTTTAAAAAAATATTTGACAATTTGTCACGTAAGTTTCTTTTTCCATTGTACGATTGTTGAGGCACAGTATTATTGTTAATTTTTTTCTTAAATAATTACTAAGGCACAAAATTATCTATTGCACCAATTCGTTTCATTGCAGCAGTTAAAAGTAATCGTGACTGTTTTTCTTCGTCTAATTGTTTTGTCAGTTGTGTAACTTGGTTTTGTAGATCGCCAACTTGATTCATTAAGTTTTCCACAACTTTAGACAGATACCTAAGTGCAAAAAATTTTTATTTAAAATATGTATTAGTTTTTTTTAAACTTCAGAATTAGCTTTTTGCGTTCTTTTTTTTTTGCTCATTTATCTATATCGATATTTCCATAAACAATACGTACCTTTCTCCAAAGAGATCCAAATTTCCTACTCTATTATTCATTACTGATACTCTATCGCGTGGCTTATTAGATGAATCATTATCTAAAACAGCTGAAATTGATATGCCCTTGTTAATTTTATTTAAAGTTTATACTAGAATATTTATATTTTTCTGTTTGCTATACAAAGCAAATGGTGGTAATAAAATTATCTCATAATTTTAATTACATTCGCGCTTGTAGCTAATTCTGAAGTCCAAGTGAAATTAAATTAAGTCAACTCGTTAATGTAAGTATGAATTAGTAACTCCATTCAAAAAAGTTATTAGAATTTTGTTAAAACTAATATGTCAAATTGAGATTGTTATAAAAGAATTTTAATTTAAATTCAAATGTATATTAAAAAATAAAAAAGTTATTTTTGTTGGTGAAATCATAATTAATTGCTGATAGGCTTCAATGGAATGAACAACACTCAAACTAAATAAATGTTACTTTACCAGAATGAACAGTAAATCTTGCATTGACAGTCATACAGTAACCTTCGATAATTTTCAGTATAATTGCATCATCTTCAAACTGGCGTTCATCTGAAATCACAAATAATGATCATTAAATCATTACCATAATAAAGAAGATTTAGAACAGGGACTTAATTTTCTTCACAATTTACTTAAAGTTATTTAAAATCGGTCAATTTAATTTTCATTTTAAATAAGAAAGAAAATCCAATAATTGACTTACTGGCTGTTCTAGGTGAACGACAAAGTTCTCCAGAATCAAATTTGCCGTAGGCTTTTAAATAAATCGGCGGAGCGGGTCTCAAAGAAGCAAGACCCCAAGGAGTTTTAGTCCCTGGTGACAAATTGCAGTCCTGAAGTAGAAGTTTCCCCGTCGATTGATTGCTCGTCTAATGAATAAAATAAATATTTTTTGATCAATAATAAATTGAATTAGTTAAACTCAATATAAATAAAATAAATAAGAATATTCATTAATTATCAGCGGGAAAAATGATCTGAATTAACTCTACTTATTTATTAACTATGAAAAATAAAAAATAATAACTGTAAAATGGTGAAAAATATTAACATTATTAGCATAACAATAACACTGCAAAAGCACAACTTCGCACAACATGGCTGTGAAACTAATAAGCAGAAAGTAATTTAAGGTGAATAACTATTAGTAGCGTAATCGGTCTATTATTGGCTGTAATGTTTATTAATAAATGTTGAATTTATTAAAAAAACAGCCATGCTATGGAAGCTTGCCTTGTTCTGTGATTTCAGATATCGGAATTGCTTTCTTCAGCCACCAGTGAGCATAAAGTCCAGACGTATACACCGGCTTCTGATGATCTTCCAACCTAATGTGAATTCCTTTTGGTCGGGCACCATGCCTGCTAGCTTTTATACTAGCTTTTTGGTGAGAGGAAGGCACTGGAGCTGTAAATCTTTTGTCGTGGAATACAAAATTTTGATATGAAGGTTTTGTGTTATTCTTATCAAGTTCTTCATCTTCTTTATCGTCACTAGAATCGCTACTATTTTTTTCATTATCACAAAAGTTGTCTTTCTGTACACCACTTTGACTATCATTATTTTTGAAACTGGTCAAAGTAATAAAGCTATTGTTAGCACTCTCTGATGATTGTCCAAATCGTTCACTTTGCCTAGGAGTTGATCCGAAAGGTGAACTACAAATGCATTGATGTTCAAAATTGTTTTCATCATTATCACTTTCGCTATGAGACATTAAAGCTCGATCAGCACTTTTATTTTGTCCATTAGGGTAGTATTTATAGCAAGAGTTTAATTCTGATGATGTCATGTGATAGCTATCAGCCATACCAGAGTCTGTGGAATGTATACTTGTGACAGGAAGTGTAAGAGTACTTTCACCATGATAAATATCGACCGTATCTTCATCTATTGTCTTAAGGTGAGGTATCGGACCAATATGAATAAATTCTGAACTAGATGAAATACTTTTACAAGTTGGTTCAATCGATTTCCATGTTTTTTTTGATGGGTCCCAGTGTTTCAACTCAAAATCATCATCAGAACTATCTAAATGATGTAAACTTGATCTTGAATTATGAGGGTGAACCAAATTTGTAGGTAAACTTTGACAATCTAACTTAGAAGGCTTTAAATTATTTTTTATTTCTAGGTTTCCCAATGAAACTGATGAAGAAGGAAAAGGTAATTGTGTGGAAGGAGCTTTCATATCATGAGTATTATCAGATTGTGTTGATTCGTATCTCACATCTAGCATTAATGAGGATTTTAATAAAGCTCGTGGTTTATCTTCGGGAACTTGCAATTTTTCTTTACCATTATCTTCATCCGACGTATATTCATTGCTACCAATCGGATATATAGTATAAGTAACAACACATTTTCTCATCTTTACATTGCTCAAGTCTGGTTTATAAATATACTGAAGATAAAGAAGCCTTTTGACTAAATCAGGATGAATGATTTTTTTTCTGACAAGCCGAGCGTAAAATCGCGATAAACGTGACAAAGGATGTTTGATGTAACTCACGTGAGACAAGGTCGGTGATTTTAACAACCCGGATGATGATTGGTCTTGTGTTAATAGCTCGATCCACTGATACCGTTCGTTTCTATGTGTGCAAAGTACAATTATATTTTCAATCATTGGCCCAGATATTTCGAAAGCATTTTTTATATCTTCGGTATTATCTAACGGAACTACATTGATGCCAGTTAATGGTAATTTGCCCTTGAAACAACCAAATATTTATGTGTTAATTTTTAATATAATTAAATTGATGATTAAAATATTTTATTGAATAATTATTACTTACTTCGTATACAAAAGAGCTCATGCGTGAGCTTGTACTGAGAACTAATAATGTCATAGGAAATAATACAAAATATCTATCTCGCCTTTCTGCACCCATAAGAATTGTTACTGGTCCAACATGTAAAATTTCACCGAGAGAACTCAATTCTTCTCCTTCCCATCCTTTAATTCCACTTGTTAATATGTGAAGTGCTAATTCCTTTTGTTTTCTTATGAACGTACATCTCTCCTAAAGAATATATTAAAATTTTTTTTGCTATTAAAGTTTACAAATAATTGATTATTTTAAATATAGCGCCAGATAAGAATAGAACACTTACGGCAATCTCTCGATAAACACATACACTTCGCTGTGTATCACCACGATCGGAATGATTTTTTTCAGTGTGTCTTTCCAATTCTTGTAGCAGAGCTGCATATTTTTCTAATCGACGAAATGGCTTGCTAAGTCCAGTTGTTAAAACTAATATTCCTGGAGTTACAGCACCACTACGTTCCATAAACTCATTTAATTCATCTCTGTATTGATCAAGAATATATACTGCTTGTGGATGACCATTACAATATGTCATGTGAATGGATTTTAATCGTGGAGCAAGTGTGAGAAATAAATTGCCAATTCTGCAGTCAGGCCCTTGAGTTACTGCAGTTTCTAAATTTGTTAATAATTTCTGATGGATCTCCAATACTTCATTTATGTTTCCAATCAATTGTTTGTACTCTTCTTTTTTCAATCTGTCAATTAAAACATTTAATACTGCATAAAAAAAATATACAGTTTAAAAAGGATTAATTACTCTTTTATTAATTAATCTTAATCATTCATTTAATACGAAGTAGAGTCCAGTAATAAATTAATTTAAGTACATGGCTGGGTACTTAAAAGATTAATTAAAAGAATTTATATACTTACATATTTGCAAGCTCTAGTGGCTGAAGGAAATTATTAACCAGACTTTGAAGCTCTGCAACATTGGCTCTTTCAGAATCTACTAAATCTTTTATTACTATATCTCTATTGAATCTCTGATGCACTGGTAATTCCTGATTAGTTTTCTCTGGTGATGACTTTACCGAGGAATGTCCGGCATCTGCTCATAAAAATTATTAATAAATTTTAATATTTTATCTTCGCACAATTCACGAGAAATATTTCAAATTCTTATGACTCCAAGAACTTTATTTCATTTTATTACCAGGCGATCTATATTCCTTGACATAGTTGGATGGAAACCAGCCAGTTTTCTCGTTCAAGGTACCTTCCCACCAACCTCCATCGTCGGTTTGTGTAATAGTTATGACATCGCCCTTTTTAAAGCATAACTGAATTCGAGCATAATAATAAATAATGAATTAAAAATCATCAGCATAAATAGAATAATTTATATATTTTAATTGTTAAATATTTTAATTATAATTACCTCGTCATTGTTCTTTCCTTTAAAAGAAAATAAAGCAGTAACTAATTTTGGCGATTCAGACTTTGACATTGTATTACGATAATAAAAATAATATGAACTAGGTATTGAGCTGAACTGATGCTGAGAGACTTTTCCAAGGATTTCTTCTTAAATACTGAATTATAAATACACTTGGTTCCTTTTTTAGATTTAAACTTTAACTCTGCTACTTTTAGTCATCAATTATTTTTACTGAAATTCTAGCTTTTCTACTTAACAATATTTATGTTCAACAATGAAATTCTAACTTTGAATTGATAAAGAACTTATAACATCACATTTTTTTCATTTTATTTCTATTTTCACCACTTAACGTCATTAATTTATTATTAGCTAACGACTCCACAGTTTTAAAACACTTCAGAGAATGTTGTGGATCTAAAAGTATAGAAATATAAAATGATAATACGAATTTATTAAAAGTAAATCAATCCTAATCTTATAGGTTAGGTTTTTAGAACTTATGCAGTGATGGTAATAAGATGTTCAATTATTTTCAGCCGGTAAAATCATTTTTTTCGTTGATAAATTGTTGGCAGATGTGTTGAACGACAACAAAATACTTTTTATCAACTGAAGAGTTATAAAAAAACCGGGATTTACTAATTTTATAACGCACTTGCTGTATAAACGTTATATAATACCAGAGTTTTTAATGAAATAATATTTAAATATACACCTATATAAATAAACTTATAAACATAAAATATTCTTTTACTTTCAATAAAATTTATATAAAGTCTTGCTGATTAAAATAACATAATTAGAGATAATTTATGTATTATATTTTTTATTACATACAAAAGAAATGATAAATTTATAGTCATAAAAATTAATTCATTAAAACGACAAGAATGGTGGATCAATATTTATTATCATATTAAAATATTAATTTCAGTATTTACTTTTAACAGGAAACGACTAAATTCAATTGATCTTACAAAAAGTAAGTATAAAATTTTTAAAAAAACACTGACTTCATACTTATAAATAACTTATTATGAAAAAATTAAAATGATTAATTATTGTCTATTTTTTAGATTAACTAATTCTTGAAATGTTCAAAAATAAGTAATTTTATCTTCTACTTCATTGATTGTCAACAAAGATAACGAAAGAAATTCTTAGTAAGTAGTTTTAAATTTATTAGGTTATTTTCCAAACTTCCCCATGATTGTACACTTATCAACTTTTCCATTAAGATTATTAAGATGAAGTACTTTAACGATTGCTAAATATCAATTAAAGAAAACCCGTGAAGTTGCATCACAGTATTACATTGAATGGATTATTTAAATGTTAATAATGGCCAACTGTGTTTGCATGGATCGATGAATAGTCATTCATTCATTGCTATTTATATTATATCTCATCAACTAATTCAATACTTCCGCGGATAAACAAATGTATTTACTTATTAAAGTGAGAATTAAAAAATTTTATAGCAGACGGAAAACAGTAATAAATAAAAGCAATGACTGTCACTTAAAAGAATCAAGAGTTCAGTAAACAGCTACGACATTTTTAAAAAATTTAATTGACGGCATATCATGTGTTGTCAATTGACAGTTATATCAACCATTGTCGCTCCCCTTGGTTCGATATGATTGTTGAATTAATATGCTGCAACAAGATGATGCGTATAAAAAGTGGAACACGGGAAGACAGTCTGATTTTTCTCAGCATTGAACTGAGACCTCTGATTACGCGCCAGTTGATAACCTTTTCTGGGAAATATTTCTCTGATGCTAGCTGGGGATTCTTCAAGATAACCATGTCATTTTGGTAGCAGAAGTCGTTGAATACTTGTGGTTCCAGAATAAGAAAATATTGACAAGTATTTCCATGAGACATACGTGTTGTTTTATCTATGAAAGTGATGTATATTTTTAAAATTGTTATTTTTATATTCAACGTTGAGTGAGATAAATAATTTCAACATGAAGAGAACTAAAAATTTATCTTGGATTTGTGTTGTTACAATAATTATTGCAATATTTGCTGATGCCGTTCATGGAGTGAGTGATGAACAATCAATTCAATCTTATTTTAACTTAATGAAATAATTTTTATAAACACATATATTATTAATATAATAATAGTTTTATGTTGAATAGTTTTCATTAATTTTAAACTCACTATTTCCAGTAGCCATTATTTGATTATGTATACAATGATATTATTTTTATGATTTCAAAGATGAAAAGGCATATTAAAAGAAAAAAATATAAATAACTTAAACAAAGTCAGAATAATCATTGATAAGATAGAGTAAATTATAAAGCATGATATTTATTTTTGTAGATTTATGATCCAGCTGTGACGACGACTAAACCGCCAAAGCGTAAAGAATCTTTGCCTTGGCATTTAATAAATGATAATGGCAAGCCAGCAGAGTTCCTAGAACCTCCAAAGCTTTCGCAAACTTCTTACATTCCCACAACGTCCTGGATCAACTGGAACAAGAATCTTAATGGTGGTATTGAACAGACAACTGGAATCGATGAAAGTTTCAACAAAGAAACTATTCAAGGAGAACATGGAGACCAATATCAAGAGAAGCAACACGTGGTATTTGATAATGGCGACCAAGGAATTTATAGTAAATATGGAGCTCAAGATAAATTATTCTGGCATGTCAATCAAGAGGGTAACAATTTTGAATCTCATGAATTCCAAGGTGTTAAAAGCGAAACGCGAATACCCGGAGAGAATCTTTATGAAGGTGTCATAGATGATTTAAACGTAAGTTAAAAATTATTCTAAACATTGCATGTAGATGAGAGAATAATTTTCGAATGAAGCAAGATATTGGATGTTCTGTGCTTGAAGATGCTTTTTCATTCAACATAGATTGGAATGGAATATTAACAAGAATACATATTTATAACGAAGTGCACAATAATTTTTATGTATTTATGCGAAGTTATATTTATGATTTAGAAGGATTGATTCAATGGTTTTCGATTTGATAATATTAATTTAATTATACTAAAGAATTAAATAATGATAGAACAAAATGTTTTTAATTATAGATTAGAATAGAATCCTGATGTTGATTGCATGAATATTTCAATTATCGGTCATAGTATTAATAAATTATTCAATGAGTTAATTTTATTCCTGCTGGTAAATAATTAATTTGCAATCATGTCTATTCTCATTGTACCGTAGAGACTTTATGGCTTGACTGATGCGCATGCCTTTATTTTGCAATTGCAACCGAGTTATAGATTCGAGATAAAAAATATCATATTACATTTTTCCAAATTGATAGAAACCAAGAAAAGAAGCACTTGTCGATCCTAAGGATTTTCAATTATCGAATGTAGCTAAATATGACAGAAAAACAGGAGTTCAATGTCCTTCTCCAGAAGCAACTGGTCAATTTATTTATCCACTTGATTGCAATTTTTTCGTCAACTGCTGGAAGGGTCGACCATTCATTCAACCTTGTGCTCCTGGCACTCGTTTTAATTCAGAAACTTTGGAGTGTGATTTTCCTCATAAAGCCAAGTGCTATGGAGGAGAAATAGCTGACTTCATAACAAGTGATAACTACGAAATTTCCGGGAACCGAGAATCTTTATCGAAAAGATATTCTCCACTAGTTGCATACCCTGATTTTAACGTATGTCAAGTACTTTTACAAGCTCATAACTGTTGAATATTATTAAAACATGATTGACAGTCTTTTAAAAGTTGTTACTAATTTTTTTTTTATTTACTTAAGAACTTTTTGTTGAATTTCATTTTTCGGAATAGACTGTCAATCATAAGAGATTGAAAATATAATAGTATATTAAATCAGTGTTTATTGAAAGTAAATGTGCTAATTATATAGTTATTACAATTCTAGACTGGATTTATTGATTAGTACATTTACTTAACTCATTTTATTTTATGATATTCATTAACTAATTCTCTGTTTTACCAGAATTATCAGCCACAATGTCCAGAGCAAATGACCGGTCTTTTACCACACCCCACTGATTGCATGAAATATCTTCAATGTATAAATGGTCGAACGATCATTAGAAACTGTTCTGTTGGTACTGTATTTAATCCAGTACTCAGTATTTGCGATTGGCCAAAGAACGTTCAAGGATGTGAAAATACTTTTAAAGATCAATCTGAGCCACTTCCCCCATTTGAAAGTGGAAGCTCTACAAATTCTCAATATCAAAATTATAAAACTCCATGGAGTTCAACGTCAGTTCCAGTTAGACAAGTAGTTCAATCAGCGACATGTCCAGACGGTTTTAGTGGAATGATGCCTCATCCTACTAATTGTTTAAAATTTCTTCAATGCAATTTTGGCCACGCCTTTATTATGGATTGTGGCCCTGGAACTGTATTTAATCCTCAAATAAATAATTGTGATTGGCCATATAATGTGCCTGGATGTGAAAATTCTCTCAAAAATAACCAGGAAAATCAAAATAATAGAGAGGACCGCACAAATTATGGATTGAATACATGGTCTGGAAGTACTTCTCGTGTTGATGAACAAAATTATCCATCGCAAGGATATAATTACAATACTTATAATAAGCTCTTGAATAATAATAACAATAATAATTATGATAATTATCAAAATCAAAATCAAGCTAATTCACCCAAACCTTGTAAATATCCGGAATGCGTACCTGGACGTCCAGTTCAACAAGATAACAATGGATATTATTCATCTGGATCTTCATACGTACCACAAATTTACACTCGATATCCTACTGATCCTAATGGTAATCATAATAGACAGAATGTACGCTGGGAAAATTCGAACACTCAAATTCCTAATGATGCAGTACAACAAAGTTCTCCAGCTTTTTCAAATAATAGACAAGGCCGTTTGGGTACATCTTCGTACAACCCTGTTGTTAATTACCCAAATATTCGGGACAACCCTCAATATCCGTATCAAGAAGCTTACGGAACTTCTGAATTACGGCCAGTAAACACACGTGGAGAAGGTACATATACATATACAAGAATTCCTACTCAAACAGAAAGTTCAAGTAATTCATGGATTCAACAAAGACCTACGTGGAGGCCCAACTCGGGACCATATGGTGATATTTATCAATCGACGCCAGATGAGTCACAACAGCATGAGCAATTCCAAGGATATGTACCAACTTGGGGAAACCCTAATTCAAACAATAATCGTGGTGGATCCATTTCATCTTCAAATAATGAAGGTATAGAAACATTCGCTTGTCAAAAATATATTAAAACCGGTGCTATTTCGAACTTGATACATTTTTTTATGAGTATGATGAGCTTACTTAGGCATCTTGTGCTTTTTAATGCTTTGGCTTGTTCTTTTAAACTATTTTTCTTTACTTTCTAAAGTTAATATTAGATGTTGGTGAATCAAAATATTTAAATAAAAGTCTTTAAACAAGAATTTAGTAAGCAAAGGATATATATAATTCAATTATTGAGTTAATAAATTCAATTTAAATAGACTTAAGATAATTGAAAAGTATTGATGTGTTTTTAAGGCACCTCTACGAGTTCTTTAGACCATAAGCTTAACCGATGGCAATCAAAGCCGAATATTATTGAACGTGGTGATAAGGTTAGTGAGCAAGACACGAAGATGGACTCTTGGGCAGGGAAGACGAACATTTTCAATCAAGGACGAGGTCAAAACGGAGGAGGTATGAATAGTGCCTATGATTGGAAAAGTAATTGGGGTTCTGATGGGGGATTACTTCAATCAATATTACTAAAGCTAATAAAATTTTTCTAACTACTTCAGGCTCAGAAATGTCTCCAAGTTCAACAAAAACTTATCCTGCGGGGATATATGTGAATATTAATGGTACTAGAGGTCATTACATTATTAATGATGTAGAAATAAATCAGAATCATTCAAGAGTTCAGAATTATAGCCCTACCGGAAGTGAGTACAGTGAAGAAACTTCAAGTGGAAGAACTTATGTTCCAGAATCTTCCATGTGGAAGCCTCTTCATCAAATACAACCAAATAACAATTCCTCTGATTCCTCTAATTTAAATAGACCTCGATGGAAACCCATTAAATACCATAACAAGACGCAAAATAGTATACACGACCACTTTAATCAGTCTCATGTCAGATGGAAACCTGAAAACAATGTAAACTCATATACCTACAGCTCCCCAGAATCAATTCACGACCCGAAAACCGACACTGTCAGTAATTATAATACTCATCATGAAAGCACGCCTAGCTCAGAAATTGGAACTAAAAATATACAATCTGTAGGAGTAATTAGACCCAGAGAGAAACCAGAGACTATATTTTCTTCGATTGGAAACATGGACAGTATTTATTATAATCAAGAAAATATTCCTCAAGAAGATAATATTCGTGAAACAATTGTGAATCCAAATTTTAAGGTTGATATATTAGACAGAACTAATTCCTGGACACCCATTGAAGTTATAGCTAATAAACCTAAAAAAAAAGATAAGAGTGTTATTATGAAGATGAATAAGCAAACCTTGGATTTAGATATCTTCAATGTTAAATCTGCACCTTGGGAAGAAAGTAAGTTTTAGTGTGAAAAAAAAAACCAATTTTTAAGTAAATAAGTTTTCATAAGTTTAAAGATTAATTCGTATATTTCTATGATTTGTTCATAATTTTAATGAGGTAAGTTTTTCTACTTTTCTTTTCGCTTCGACGCAATTTTTGAAGTATTGCTGCTAAGTTGCATCAATTGAATATGTTTTTCTCAGTTTATTTTTCGTGAGAAGAAATTTTTTTGCTTGTATAATTTTTTACTTTTAATGAAAACTTCTTAAACTATTTTTCTTGCATTTATTAAGTTTTTTTTTTTTAATTTTTCACTTGTTCTTTTAGTAATAAAATATAATGAACTTTTTTTCCGTAGATGAACCACCGTTTCCTGTTTACTATGTACCACCAGTGAATTCACTTCACCAACACGATAATTCTAAACTGATTACTCCAGCCTCTGGTCAGGTATTAGCAAGAAATTTTTTTCGAGAGTTGCATTAAATTCCACTACATGTGTATATAATTATAATTTTAATTACTAGATACTACGTTTGAGAGGAGGATCTAGTGCTAGAGACGGCTATGTAGAAGTTCAAGGTATTCAAGCAGGTTGGGGTGTAGTTTGTGATACCAAGTACGGTTGGACTATTAAAGAAGCAAACATTATATGTCGACAGCTTGGATTCACGAGGTAAACAACTTTTAATAAATTTAATACAATCGAAAAAAGTATCTCATTTAAGTGATTAAAAAATTTAACAAAAAATAATATGTATTCATTTACTCGTTGTTATTCTCATTTTCAGGATTTATTTTTATTAGATTTTAAAATTGTTCATTTAAATTTTAATTCTGTTGAAATTAAAAAAAATGTAATAACGACATTTTTTCTAATTATAGAGGTGCTGAAACTTTCTGGCAAGGTCGAAAAAATGGACATATTCCACCGTGGATAGCAACGACAAATATTCAATGTCATGGCAATGAAACTAAGTTTCAGACTTGTGAATTTGTGCATGGTACGGAATGTAATATTCAACGTGATGCTGTTGGAGTCAACTGTCTTCCAAATCGAATAGCTTATTGTCGTCCAGATGAAGTTGCTTATGAAGGAAGTTGCTATCATTTAGCTGACTCGGATTCCGGCTTAACTCATGATGAAGCATTGAAGTATTGTTCTGCAAAAAATGCAAGATTAGTAGACATCACGAAGCAAAGTGAAAATGATTTTCTGTCTGAATGGCTAATTCAAAGTTATCCCAACGTTGAATCAGTTATGACTGGTGGAATTGGATTTACTGCTTTGAATAATACAATCTGGTTATGGGAGGATTCTACGTATGCTAAGTTTAAGTGAGTTTTCATCTATACAGGGAAAAACTGAATATACTTATCTGTAAATAGAAAAAAAGATTAATAATTTTTTTTGCTTTACTTCAAAAAAAAAACTAGAGTTCGTAAAGTAAAAAAAACTTTTAATTTAAAATAGATTTGCAAAATGGTGGCCGGGATGGCAAAATGAAAAAGCATTGCCACCTTCAACCGGAATACGACCTATGTGTATTATAATGAAAAAAAAATTTCCCTGTTACAACCGACCCGACTCTCTTTGTCTAGCTGATTATTTCTTCTGGGATGTGGAAGATTGTGCATCATCTATGAAAGGACACTCGTTTATTTGTGAAAGACCGTACAATGACATTAGTACGTAATTAAAAAATAATTTTGTTACTTGTAAAATGATTATATTTTAAATAATTTTTTCCATCTTATACTGGAAATTATTATTGACTTGAAAGATAATTTTTTATTCAATCATAGGTTGTATTTATGGGAAGGGGCATCAATATTCTGGAAAAGCAAATGTTTCTGAGTCTGGTGCTCCATGTCTATCGTGGAATGATCCAGCTGTATCTGATTTTTTGATATCTAGAGTATGTTGAATAATAAGAATTTTTTTTTACCTGAAGTATTTATTGGCAATGGTATTTAATGATCAAAAAATATGGTCTTTATTAGGTACCAGATCCTGTAACGAGAGAAAGATTGCGAGCTCACAATTATTGTCGAAATCCCAATCAAATGAAGGAATCCAAACCTTGGTGTTTTACTGGTCCATATGGTCAACGCGAATACTGTGATATTCCTTCTTGTGGAGGAATTGGTATGAATGATATCAATTTCAATACTCAAATATATTATTCAAAAATAAGAATGCATAAAATGAAATGTTGATTAACAGTAGAACAATTTAATAACAACTATTAATTAATTATAGCATTAATTACATAACAGTACTCTTGAATACGAACTGAAAATTAGAATGTGGTACGACGATCATAAATAACAATGATAAACTTCACTAACGACTAATTATTCAACTTGATAATTATAACTGATCGATTTATATGCAAAATGAATCTTTTATTATCAAATAATTGGACACTCACATGAAACGATATTGTGGATTGACAGTGTGTTGCATATCAGTGTCCAATTATCTAAAAGAGGGATAAAAAGTAACAAAATATAATAGTAATATTTGTTATACTGTAAACATCCAAAAAAATAATTCAAAAATTTATTTTATCATAGAATAATTAATTATTTATCCAATGAAGCAATTTTTCTTTTATTTAATATTCTAAAGTTAACAAAAGCTTTATTATTATCTTATTCATGTTCTGGTTAGGTTTTAAGCTTCTTGAAATCATCTTTTCGTTAATTATTTGTTCATTGATACACATTAGCATTCATAAAATATATTTATGGGATAGAAAGTATCAAATTAAGAAAGAATAAATCATACAAAAAACGCAAAGTATGAATTGTTCATTCTGTGAAGAATATTTGCTGTAAACTAAAACTTATTTTTAATATCTTAGGAAAAGAATTAATTTTATTTTTATAGTAGAAATCAAATTTTTATTTTAAAATATTTCGTTTCATTA